CAACGTTGATGTACAAGATAATGTATAGTGGTTGCTTCAACGTTGATGTACAAGATAATGTATAGAGGTAGCTTCAACGTTGATGTACATGATAATGCATAGAGGTAACTTCATAGTTGATGTACAAGATAATGTATAGATGATGATAATGCATAGAGGTTACTTCATAGTTGATGTACAAGATAATGTATAGAGGTTACATCTATTTTGTATGCATACATCTAAAACGTAACCTAATCAGAGCCAATCTGATCAACTCATCTCCACACTGCAAATTGACAGATAGACAGACAGATTTTATTTCTGTAATTCTAGGCCAAGGGCCCATAATACAAAATTACAGGCACACTGGTACATCGCATTGTAAATTTATATGCTTAAGTATTAGTACTGCGAATTTAATGAATTTAACATTGTAATATCAGATTTGCTTCTTACTTTCTGTATATGACGTTCAACACAAATTAACGTGTTTATGGTGATACAAGAAATTAGCTTAATGAAATTACCAAAACTACGGTTAACAAGTAAACATGAAGGAAGGCATTCTTGTCCAGTATCTTCATATCTCTCACATATCAACAGAACATGGAATAAACCATTACTATAACAATAAGAACAAATCCTATCAGCATAACTGATGTTTTATGGCTACCCAACTCAACCGCTAAACGGAAATTATTACACCTAAATTGAGATAACATGCTTGTACTAATATGGAATATCTGCACTTAAGTATCTTTCTACACTCAGCAATGACTTAAATTTACCATATACATTTTGATCAACCAGATACTAAGACGCCAGTCTTGACATAAACTATCATACAACCTCATGAATAGATTTACATTACCTACATATTGGGATAACCATACAATACTAATACCAAACTGATACAAAATGTGTTAACCAGATGTAACACAAGTATTTCTACCAGCTTCAGCCAATAACATAAGCACTTGTTAACACTGATACGGCAACCTATGAGTATTTAACTAAAGCAATCTACACCAATATTGAGCACATCTAGACATATACTGACATTGGAATGGAACTCAGCCACATTCACCTAGCGCCATAACATTGCTGGTATATTTACTAACTTTCAAAATTCTTTTACAGAAGTATATTTGCAAACTTTCTATCTGTCTACAGTATGAAGTGCCCCACATATCTGCCCCATAGGAAAGGATAGGACAAACAGCTGCATCAAAAATTTTAAATATATCTAGACACGAAATTGCACCAAATTTATTTTGATAATTATACAATGACATACAAGCTTTGTGTGCTTTCCATGAGAGAGATGGTGTGAACACAACACCTAAGTATCTATATACATTTACTACCTCTATTTTCTCATCCTCAAAGAACCACTCCTCATAGTGGCGGAGAGGACCACCTTTCCGAAAAACCATAATTTTGTTTTACTCAAGTTTATACTCATGCCTGTATCATTACAAAATTGAGACGTCTTAGACACTTAGTCTGTTTGTAAAATATCTATTCAATTCTTGTAAATGCTATATGTAAGGACTACATTTAGAAAAACAAAATAATTCAAGGTATACATTTATCCAGTGAGATTAGTGACATGTAGGAAATTCCGCCATTAATAATGTATAGAGGATAGAACAAGGACTGGTGTGGAATTTCAGACCACCGACTCTACAATGCAGTGTAGCTGAATGATGCAAATCGACTGTATCTTACACATACAGTGTAACTATCTACTAAATTGTAGCTTAATGAGTGAGTGAATTAAAATTTAAAGTCACTTTGGCAATATTTCAGCCATATCGTGACTAAATCATGTTATACACTAATATAAAGTAAAGATATGTCATAAAAACCTGTCGACGAAGGACAGTAAAACAACTAGATTATCACAGTTAGAAATTTAAAACTAGTAACTAAATCAAAAACATTTTACCTATACAAGACAATGCAATATTAACACAGGCTATAGATTGCCAACAACTGAAGGTAGATCACCATACTAGGGACCATGGGGACTTACAGTACATTTGCTACCTGCATGGACCCGAGCTGGATTTACATCATCCCTTAAGCTGTTAGCAATTTACACACATCTAGCCATACATTAAAAATACACATATTCTGCGATTAAAAAAGTGGAGACTTTAAATTTACTTTGAATGTTATGGGACGTACGTACCTTTTTAGGAGGACAATCATTTTACAATACTTTAACCCCCCCTGAGAATACAGCCACTAACAATCTGTGTTATTAATTTAAACTTCCAATAATAAAATATTTATCTAGTTACAAATCAGTTAACAAATCTAATTCCTTTAAAAATGCAATAATTAAATGATAACTTATATTTTTAAAAAGATCCTTCATAGTTCGTGATGTGAAATATATATCCCTTGTGGTGGAATATTCAACCCAGTCAAGCAAGACCTTTTTGACTGTGATTCTTTGAAAATTGTAGCATACAGTGTAAATTAGCCATACATTGTAGCATACCTGTACAATGTACCTTACCCATACATTGTACCTTACCTGTACAATGTACCTTACCCATACATTGTAGCTTACCTGTACAATGTACCTTACCCATACTGACTGACTGACTGTAGTTTTATGCCGCTTTTAGCAATATTCCAGCAATATCACGGCGGGGGACACCAGAAATGGGCTTCACACATTGTGCCCATGTGGGGAATGGAACCCGGGTCTTCGGTGTGACGAGCCAACGCTTTAACCACTGGGCTACCCCACCGCCCCACCTTACCCATACAATGTAGCTTACCTGTACAATGTACCTTACCCATACAATGTAGCTTACCTGTACAATGTACCTTACCCATACAATGTAGCTTACCTGTACAATGTACCTTACCCATACAATGTAGCTTACCTGTACAATGTACCTTACCAATAAAATGTAGCTTACCTGTACAATGTACCTTACCCATACATTGTAGCTTACCTGTACAATGTACCTTACCCATACATTGTAGCTTACCTGTACAGTGTACCTTACCAATACAATGTAGCTTACCTGTACAATGTACCTTACCCATACAATGTAGCTTACCTGTACAATGTACCTTACCCATACAATGTAGCTTACCTGTACAATGTACCTTACCAATAAAATGTAGCTTACCTGTACAATGTGTAGCTTACCCATACATTGTAGCTGTATCTGATTACACATGTAACTTACCTTTACCCATACATTGTAGCTTACAAACTGTACAATGTACCCATACATTGTAGCTTACATTGTACAATGTACTTACCCATACATTGTAGCTTCTGTTCTGTAGCTTACCCATACAGTGTAGCTTACATACTGTAACACGTTACAAACACTGTACCCCATACAGTGTTTACAAACACAGTTTAGATTACACCCATACACTGTAGCTTACCTGTTCTGTGTAGCTTACCCATACAGTGTAGCTTACAAAACACAGTTTAGATTACACATACACTGTAACTTTACCTGTTCTGTGTAGCTTACCCATACAGTGTAGCTTACAAACACAGTTTAGATTACACATACAATGTAACTTACCTGTTCTGTGTAGCTTACCCATACAGTGTAGCTTACAAAACACAGTTTAGATTACCCATACAATGTAACTTACCTGTTCTCTGTAGCTTACCCACCCACAGTGTAGCTTACAAACACAGTTTAGATTACCCATACACTGTAACTTACCTGTTCTGTGTAGCTTACCCATACAGTGTAGCTTACAAACACAGTTTAGATTACCCATGTACAATGTAACTGTAGCTTACCTGTTCTCTGTAACTTACCCATACAGTGTAGCTTACAAACAACAGTTTAGATTACCCATACAATGTAACTTACCTGTTCTGTGTAGCTTACCCATACAGTGTAGCTTACAAACACAGTTAAGATTACCCATACAATGTAACTTACCTGTTCTGTGTAGCTTACCCATACAGTGTAGCTTACAAACACAGTTTAGATTACCCATACACTGTAACTTACCTGTTCTCTGTAGCTTACCCATACAGTGTAGCTTACAAACACAGTTTAGATTACCCATACAATGTAACTTACCTGTTCTGTGTAGCTTACCCATACAGTGTAGCTTACAAACACAGTTTAGATTACCCATACACTGTAACTTACCTGTTCTGTGTAGCTTACCCATACAGTGTAGCTTACAAACACAGTTTAGATTACCCATACAATGTAACTTACCTGTTCTGTGTAGCTTACCCATACAGTGTAGCTTACAAACACAGTTTAGATTACCCATACAACCCATACACTGTAACTTACCTGTTCTGTGTAGCTTACCCATACAGTGTAGCTTACAAACACAGTTTAGATTACCCATACAATGTAACTTACCTGTTCTGTGTAGCTTACCCATACAGTGTAGCTTACAAACACAGTTTAGATTACCCATACACTGTAACTTACCTGTTCTGTGTAGCTTACCCATACAGTGTAGCTTTCAAACACAGTTTAGATTACCAATACAATGTAATTTACCTGTACGGTGTAACTGACCCATGCAGTGTAGTCTACCCATATATTGTAGTCTTTTTGTATTTATAGTATATATATCAGTTTATCACAAATAATGTCTTTTAGAGTGTATGACATACGTGACACAGGATACCCGTGCAGGTCCGGGTTAGAATATTGATCTTCAGTAACCCATGCTTGACGTAAGAGGCGACTAACGGCATCGGGTGGTCAGGCTCGTTGACTTGGTTCACACATGTCATCGATTCCCAATTGCGCAGATCGATGCTCATTGCTGTTGATCACTGGATTGTCTGGTACAGAGTCGATTATTTACAGAAGGCCGCCATACAGCTGGAATATTGCTGAGTTCGGCGTAAAACTAAACTCACTCACTCACTCACTCATTCACTCACATGACACAGGCGTGTACTTGCGTATCTACTCAAGTCACCTAGTAACCTAGATACATAGATGGGGTAGCAGTGTTAAAGCGTTGTAAAAAGAGGGTTCGAATCCCCAATGGGTACAATTTAGATTTCTGGTGTCCCCGCCGTGATGTCGCTGAAATATTGCTAAAAGCGGCGTAAAACCAATATCATCAGTCAGTCAGATACATGTAATTGTAAAAATAGCACTAAATGTATACTTTAGAGTGTATATTATGTAGGATATATTACAATATATCCCATACATGACACAGGCGTGTACTTGCGTAACTGCCCAAGTCACCTAGTCACCTAGTAACCTAGTAACCTAACGGCACCTAACTGTAAAAATATAACTACTTGCATGGAAATCCACAAAGTCAATAAATTTGAACATAAGTGATTCCAATTCCAGAAGCCAGAACCCGTTGAACAAGGGATTCGGATGGGAGATATTGCCTTATGCTGTATCAGCATGTTTGTAAGTATTAAACCTAGAACATCATAAATCAACAATGGCCGCTAACTGGGTGACCGTGTCCTGTTCCATGGGTCGTTTGTGACATGTAAGATTTATACCAGGAAGGTCCCCGACTGACGACCCTCCGCAAGGTCATACGCATTACTAACACGGATCAAACTACTTATCTAGAGGCACAGACAGACACACACACGAGCGCACATATTCAGTTTATTTCTCTTGTGTGCGCATCTGCACACACAAATGAATTAACGTTGTCATAATGCATCGTACTATAACAAGGTGAGGTGAGGTGAAATTGGGTTTAACGTCGTGCTTGAGAATATTTCGCTCATTTGACGACGTGCATGCGTGTGTATGTGTATGTGCGGCTGCTTGTACTAGCCCAGACTTAAGCTGGTTTTATAGTGCTAGCCCACTGAGATACCATGCCGCAGTGAAGCATGAATACCCCACTCAGACACATTATACTGACTCCGAGCCGACCAGTCCTTGTTGTACCCATTAATGCCGAGCGCCAGGCAGGGACCAACAAGTACCATATATTAACGTCTTTTGGTATGACGCGGCCGGGGATCGAACCCGCGCCCTTCCGCTCTCCGGGCGGACGCTCTAACCACTACACCACGGAGGCGGTTTCGTACCATAACAAAGCGATGCTGTTATCTGTATTCACTTCTCCCTGAAGGTCAGAATGAACATTTGTTTGTTTGTATCTTTATTATATATTTATTTACTTATTTATTTGGAACCGGCTCAATACACACATGAAAAAAAGGATCCCAAAATGCTGTTATTTCTTAGTATAAACATGCTACCATTAACCATAACGAGGAACTTACCTAAATCTACACCCCATATTTGCCTATCAACAACGAAATCAGCTTTTCAAAGCTGTAAGAACGGTTTACTGAAACATAATTGTTTAATGGCGGATATACGTATTGTAATCATAAAAAACGAATATTATCATGAGATGAATACGAATGGCCTGTGTTGCGATACTTTTTCCCATGTGTATATTTTAAGAGAATCCGTATGTGTTACGAATGCCTTACTGACAGTATTAATCACCGTATTACTGATTGTATTGAATGACGTATTACTGACTGTATTGAATGACGTATTACTGACTAGTGAGTGAGTGAAGTTAGTTTTTCGCCGCATTTAGCAATATCCTAACAATATCACGGGGGACAACATATCAGAATCGAACCCGGGCCTTCGGCGTGACGAACGAACACTTTAACCACAAGGCTACCCCACCGCCCCTCTCTTAAGAAAGAAATGTAACATCCAGCAGTTATCTCCCTCGCTACCCATGGAGATCCGGGTTAGAATATTGATCTTCAGTAACCCATGCTTGTCGTAAGAGGCGACTAACGGGATCGGGTGGTCAGGCTCGCTGACCTGGTTGACACATGTCATTGGTTCCCAATTGCGCAGATCGATGCTCATGCTGTTGATCACTGGATTGTCTGTCTGACCACCGAGAAGATCCTTGTCATGCCACAGGTGTGGTTTAGGTAATCCAATGTACTGTCTCAGAATTTATTCAAGCCTGTTGTTTTTTTATGCAGCGTTTATATCGGGAAGGGATTAAAACAATTTCAGCTACTGTTCCAGGCAGACCTAAATGTAGTAATTCCTGAAAATATATGTTATATACAGTCTTGTCCCAGCAGCTGTTGTTGACGCTGTTGTTGACGCTGTTGTTGATGCTGTTGTTTTTGTGCAGCTTTTGTGGGCAGCCTTGTAACGTTGTGGTCTCCTATCAACCACTTGATATCATATCATGACACGCATTGTATCATGAGGTCATCCATTGTATCATGAGGTCATCTATTGTATCATGTCATCAAGCGTATTATAACCTCATCTACTGCATCATGACATCATCCATTATACTAAGAAAATACAAATGTATATTTATAATTTTTAAACTTATCTATCTCATGGATTGTACTGTCTCTCTCATGTTCGACAGCTGGGTGGAAACAAACTGTAAACAAAGTTTATGGCCTCTCTTGTACCTTTCGCCCAAACACGCCCCTCTGCTCATGATCCTGGATGTCGTCAGCCTCTGTGAAGCATGCAGCATGCCTTCTGGCTGACCATGTGACAGAGAACCCGTGAAGATCCGGGTTAGAATAATGATCTTCAGTAACCCATGCTTGTCGTGAGAGTAGACTATCGGGATCGGGTGGTCAGGCTCGCTGACTGGGTTGACACACGTCATCGTATCCCAGTTGCGTAGATCGATGTTCATACTGTTGATCCCTGGATTGTCTGGTCCAGACTCGATTATTTACGGACCGCCCCCATATAGCTGGAATATTGCTGAGTGCGGCGTAAAACTAAACTCACTCACTCACTCTCCCTCGCTATACCACTGTTTCAACAGAACTACAGCGTGTTCAGCTTGACCTGAGCTACTCTACATATGCATGACCCAGGTGGTCAAATGGCACACACGGCAGGACGAGTTAACTTCATTAAATAGGGGAGCAGAGAATGTTATTAATGCTGCGTTCGTGCGAAGCATGCATACATGGATTCGTTACAGAACCTGTCCCGGAAAACAACACTTCTGAAAAAAGCAATCATTTCATGTTTAATTGAATTGTTTATACAGTTATATGCTATCTATTTTGGTTTGCTAACTTTGCAAAGTACAGACGTCAATTACTTTCACAATCCCATTCACTCTTATCACTCTCTACACCCATTTCAATTATCACTGTTCAACTGCAATATTTCTGTCCCAGTAGTTAGGACATTGCTGACGATTTCTCGACAATGAATGTCAAATGACGACCTTGTGTCGGCTGTTCGGACATGTTGACAATCAACTCACAAATGTACACCCCTTCACAATAATAGGCCAAACCAGCTGTGGCGCAATACATTAGTATTCACTTGATCAGGTCAAGCTGAACAAGCTGAGATACTGCTGTTACAGCCGGCACGTAACATACGGCGATGGTTATATATTTAATAACGTTCTAAATATATGTCGTCATAACCTTGGAAGTTTTATTGTACACTTATGTAAAGGGAAAATTTGTATGATGTGTGAAAGGGACAACAGCCGCAACAATTCAGTTATATTGCATCGTGGGAGGAGGTCGCAAACTGACTGTGGTCGTGGTCGTGGTCGTGGACGTGGACGTTTACACATTGCTTGTTGTCACCGACAATGTCGTTTAAGTTTCACGAAAAGGTCATAACAAAATGGCGATAGGGCTTCATATTTGGAGGGACTACTTTTGACAGATTTAGACATCACTCTGTTGTCTCGCCATGTTCTCCTTTTACCGAGTAAACCTCGACAGGCAGTTTCGCGGGCATTCTCTGAGAAATCCCGGGAAATTTCTACAGAATTGCCCGCAGCCCGGGGTTTTCTGAGGAATAGCCCTTGACTTTGAATACTTTTACTTGTTTTGAAGATTGATATAACTCTGTCTTGCTATTACTGAATACGATCGTAAATATCACCTTATTGAAAACGTCCACTTTATTGTGTCGATGCCTGGTTTCGAACCTGCAACCCGGTTCGCTGTGAAGAATGTGGTTTACTATCAGTATGAACCAGGTTTTTCCCACAAGACGGGTTGTGCGTGCAGAGCAGCACGTGCAGGACACGGGTAGCGCGTGCAGAGCAGCACGTGCATTGCGCGTGGAAGCAAGGTATCGGCTGCCAGGCGCATCCCAGCTGATTTCAACAGTGAATTCCAAATATTAAAAGTATATCTTCGGTCGGTTCATAAGTTGGAGCAAAGCCTCCTTTCTTGAAAAAGTAAGCCCATGGCCTCGGGAAAGAGTTCGTCTCGTTCCCCCAAAACTCTAAATCTGACCCTAACCCTTACTTAAATTTTGGACTTTTAGTAATTGTTGTTAGTTCTCTAGTAATTGTTGTGTTAAGTTTTGTTAATAATTTTAGTATATATTAATTTACAAATATTATTTGGGGTGGGGGAATGGGAGGAACCAATCGTTTTATGCTGGTGAGCGATTGGTTCGCGTCATTGTTATCGTGGTCGCTCGTAACGCTGAGAGTCCGGGTTTTCGATTCCACAGAATGATGCAAGCGTTGGCTCCCATCTGTTACTTCCTGTCGGAGCCGTAAAACAGGTTCTCATCAACCATTCATGGGTGTTTGTGAGTGAAAAGGCAGCATTCTGGCTTGTCCCCTTCCGAATGAATATTGATGATATATTTTTTAACACCGCATTCTGCAATATTTTAACTCATGGCGGCAGTCGTAAAAATGAGAGTCTGGACAATCAAAAGTCCAAAATCATGAACATCTATCATTTGGGATACGATGGCATGTGTCTCCCAAGTCAGCGAGCCTGACCACCCGATCCTGTTAGTCGCCTCTTACGACAAACATGGGTTACTGAAGGCCAACTCTAAACCGGATTGTCACGAACAGTGAGTGAGTGAGTGAGTTAATATTTAACGTCACATCGGCAATATTTCAGCCATATCGTGACGAGAACATTTGATATTGAAATGAAATATAATTGTATACATATGTATATGTATATTATAAAAAACCTGCCGACGAAGGACAGCAAGACAACTAGAATATCACATATGTATGTAAAACTAGTAATTAAATCTAAAACGTTTTAACTATAGGGGAAAAACAATACATTATAAAAATGGGCTATAAATCGCCAATAACTGAAGGTAGATCACCATACCAGGGACCATGGGACTTACATTACTTTTGCTACCTGCATGGACTCGTCACGAACAGATTATAAAGAGGAATATATATTAATATTTCAGTCTACTGTGTCAGTTTAATAGTAACAAACACACATTACACACACCTCAATGACCCTGTGACACAGAGGAAGGGACATTTATCAGGTTAATGCTTGTTGGATGATGCAAAGACTGATTCATAATCCGTTGCTCTTTCACCTAAATTAAAGGCGGTCAAGAATATCAAAGACAGTGACCGTCAACCACGACCCTCGGTGATGACCTGGTCAAGTCATGACCCTCAGGTAGCTCGTCAAGGGGTCATGGGTTAAAGTAAACGTCGGTCAACAATCTGGACCGGTCAGACAGATGGTCAGACCCAATGTGATGACTGACCCATTCCTTCACCATTTAGACACAAGGAAATTAAATCCTTGAAACTGTAAATGATATGTACTTGATATTGCCGTGTCCGTCAAACCCCAAGCATGTTCAACACATAATGTTCTTGTCGATACCTTTGGGTTTCCTGGATTGAACTGGCCCCAGCAACCTGTATACCAGTGAAGATCCGGGTTAGAGTCTTCAGTAACCCATGCTTGTCGTAAGAGGCCACTAACGGGATCGGGTGGTCGGGCTCGCTGACTTGGTTGACACATGTCATCGAATCCAAATTGTACAGATCGATGCCAATGATGTCAATCACAGAATTGTCTTGTAAAGACTCGATTACATACACGCCGCGTTTAATTAAAGCTGGGATTATCTTGTTGATTTTGAAAATATATATGTACCACCTCTGTATTTATACTCAAAAATAGGTTGCATTAAACAAAACAAAAGGAGCAGTCTTACAGAACACACTGAGAAAGTTATCAATGACTTATCTGCAACATATGTTATATTTGGGATTGAACTTTTTCTGTAAAGTACAGATTCTAGTACCATTCAAACCCATACCCTCAGAGCCAGGCACCTAATCGCCAGCAAGACTAAACTTAGTAAAGTGAGTGAGTGAGTTTAATTTTACGCCGCACCCAGCAATATTCCAGCTATATGGCGGCCGTCTGTAAATATTCGAGTCTGGACCAGACAATCCAGGGATCAACTCCATGAACATCGAGGACCGCCTCCGTGGTGTAGTGGTTAGAGCGTCCGCCCGGAGAGTGGATGGTCGCGGGTTCGATTCCAGACCGCGTCATATCGAAAGACGTTAAAATATGGTACTTGTTGGTCCATGCCCGGCGCTCGGCATTAATTGGTACAACAAGGACTGGTCGGCTCGGAGTCAGTATAATGTGTCTGAGTGGGGTGTTCATGCTTCACTGCGGCATGGTATCTCAGTGGTCTAGCACTATAAAACCAGCTTAAGTCTGGGCTTGTACAAGCAGCCGCACATATACATACACACGCATGCACGTCGTCATATGAGCGAAATATTCTCAAGCACGACGTTAAACCCATAATTTCACCTCACCTCATGAACATCGATAGAACGCAAATGAAATACGATGACATGTCTCAACCCAGTCAGTGAGCTAGGCCACCCGATCCCGTTAGTCGCCTCTTACGACAAGCATGGGTAGCTGAAGATCAATTCTAACCCGGATCTTCACGGGTCAAATTTAGTAAAGTGTTTATTTAGTATCAAATGTACAACTTTATTTAACCAGTTATTGTGGGGATTGGTCCTCTGTGAACAACTGAGTATTATTTCCACTTGGGACAATATTGCAAACATGTCAAGGCGTACCAGTTTGATGAGGGAGGGCTAACCGAGGTGATACATTCTTCTTATTATTATACTGATATTTGTATAGCGCCAATATCCAGCTCAGCTCAGCTTCTCAAAGCGTTTTGTTTTTCTCTCGATCATAGGATGTCAATCTCAACGTCATATCGTATTTTTAATCTCAACTCCCTGGGGAAGATGCAACTCTTGCAGCCACTAGGCGCACCGAGTTAATGGGCTTCCCATCCTTCCGAGGTACCCATTCACAGCTGGGTGGACTGGGACACATAGTCACAGTACTTTGTCCAAGTTTGCTTCACCTTGCTGTACCCGCAACTAGGTGTTTGCACGTATTCATTTGGCCACCGTCTACTGCTTGACTCGTATTAGATGAGCCTGCGCAGTACATGCGTTTGTGACAAGTAGGGGGACAGGGAGTCTAGACGAATACACTTGGTTGCTACATAGAGAATCTCACCCAAGTGTCTTCTGATATCAATTATATCAACACGAGTTGATAAAGTTACAAATATCCGAGGCTTGCCGAGGATATTTTTACTTTTATCAACGAGTGTTGATATATTTGATATCAGAAGACACGAGGGTGAGATTCTATTTATCATCCAAAATCACTCTTCATTAATTTTCAATGTACATCTCTGAACATGGTACTGCCATTAGACTTGCAGTGCAGCGATGTCATAGCATTGTGACGTCATCAAGTACATGACGTCATAGCATTGTCAGGGCATTGTACAAAATCTACTGTCAAAACGATCTCCTAGGAGATATCGTTTGATCTCACACAAGCGATATCTCCTGTGGAACACAGTTTTGGATGATAAAGGTAGATTAACGATTTAGCGATACATGCTGACCTTGGCGTGAACTCAATACCGCTTCTGTTTAACACGTGTCTCGTAGAGCGATTTTGTTACAGCAAGACACCATCTCGACACGAGTCAATTTGTGAATGATTTTAATTAATTTATCATGTGCAAGTTAGGGAAGCATGGGCAATTTGTTCATTCTCAGGCAAGGGGTTAGCCTACAATGTTATTATTTATATGGAAAAGGCGTGTGCAACCAAAGTAGACGCTATGTCAAAAGTAGCCTTGCTACTGGTCTTTCCAAGGCAACTTTAAAACGTATATATTAAAGCGGAAGGTGATAGGGGTGCGAGTAGGCCTACGTTTATTAGTCCAACAAGTTGCGCAAACCTCAAACTTCCAAGCACAAACTTGATGATTTTGGCCGGTGTGCAGTCCGTCAATTTGTACAAAGTTTATATGGAGTACAAAAAGCAACTGCCTACTCTAGAAATGATATAGGATATGGCAAGAAACCAATCGCATTACCAGGGTTCAAAGGAAAGTTTTCGAAATAATCTGAAAGACATGGGGTTTAGGTGGCGAAAAACGCAGTCAAATCGTAAGGTTTTAAAAGAACGAAAAGACATCGTTGCAAAGCGCATGCAATACTTACGTGCAATAAAAAAGTGTCGAGATGAAGATCGAACAATCATCTTTATCGATGAAACATGGTTGCATGTACACCACATTGTCCCAAAATGTTGGCAGCTTGATGGTGAGGTTGTGATAAATGGGGTTCAGCGTCCGTCCGGTACCGGACCTCGGCTTATTGTTGTTCATGCAGAGTCCGAAAACGGTTTTGTACCAAATGCTTTACTTGTATTTGACTTAAAGCTCAAATCAGCAGATTATCATGACGAGATGAATTTTGATAATTTTTCCAAATGGCTACAGGACACATTGATCCCACATATTCCACCCCACTCCGTCATTGTTATGGATAATGCGCCATACCACAGCAAGCAAGTGGACAAATGTCCAACAACGGCTAACAGAAAAGATGATACCAAAGCTTGGTTACAAAGGCACAATATTGCATTTGACGATAAAATGCTCAAAGCCGAACTGTTGTGTCTGGCAAAATCCAACAAATCGGGCCCTGTCTATAGAGTAGACACTATGTTGAAACAACATGGCCATGATGTACTACGTCTTCCTCCTTACCACGCAGAATTGAACCCAATTGAGTTGATTTGGGCCAATGTCAAAAAAATATGTTGCTAAACAAAACTCTCAGTTCACAAAAACTTCGCTAAGAGTTGCCATAAACGAGAGAATGACAGTAATCGGTGCCAAGGAATAGTCCGAATGTTGTGAACATGTGAAAACCATTGAAGATGGCTACTGGCAACGGGAAATTGCAGTAGAAAAAAGAAATTGACAGAATCGTGATCGGAGTAGGACTGGCAAGAGATTCAGACACCGAGACCGATTTAGAAAGTTACGACTAAGGCCCGAAGTACGCCTAAATCAGTACATTCCATAATGGATCTATTCGGTATTTGACCCCTGTGTGGAGAGGGTGCACCAGAATACATGCCGATTATACATCCGTTTGTAAACATAACAAATATTCTTTTCTCTAGCACTTGTGTGGGGTGTTTTGTAAATTAAGTTATATTTGTCTTGGTTCAGTTTCTCAGGATCTTAGCTGTACACATACTTAGTATGGTATAACAATCAAAACACGGTTCGCACGAGGAAATTGAACTTTTCAAGTTTTAGACGACAACCTGTTTCCCTCATTTTTCAAATGGAATGTTCTGGAGGGCCTTCCATATATGCAAATTGGGGTCATTTGTCAGGTCGTGGCTCATCTAATAGTAGTACATCAGTAGTCATTTACCAACGGATGCGTGGGTTCGTTTAAGTGTGTACTGTACACTAGGGTTTGTGACAACACTTGAAAGAATCTGACTCCAAGGTTTTTACACCCGGTAAAACGTGGGTTCGATCCCGGCACCTCCAAGCTCCCTGGATCACTAGCCTGGCGCCTTAGATAGCTCGCTCAACGCGCCCTCAACATAGGTTTAGTTGCGCAATGGACTTTGCAGAGTTGCGTATCTTAGTCCTATTAGGTTTATCTGAACATGTGCAAGCGTGCGCGATTCGGTATAGATACGTCCCTTGACATCACTCACTTACTCATATGTTCTGCCAAAATCTTGACGTGAACGATTCGCAGTCATGATACAGTGTTGTTGTTTTTTCATTCTAAATTCAGACGCCCTTCATTGGCTCCCTTTTGAGTGTCGAGAAGTCCAAGTCATTCTCGGCGCCAAACTTTAAGATGACCTTGAAAAAGCCTTTTTTTCAGAACCGCCTGTACAGTTACCTGTGGTAAAGGAAGATACCATGGATCCTGTGGTTGATTGCTCGAAAGGTGTTAATGATTGCTGGATTGATCACTGGATTGTCTGGCCCAAACTCGCCCTTGATTGCTTGTCATCGTGTCTCTCAGGTGTGTATCAGTGCTGAATCGGTCACAGGACTGTCTGGTTCAAATTCAATCATTAACAGGCAGCCGCCATCAAGTTGGAACGAATCTGACTTCGACGTTTGGATCCCTTGATTGTCTGGACCAGACTCCCCCATTAACTGGCACATGTAAAACACTTGCCCATTGATAGTGTTATGTTTACTCTATACCGATCGATTTCTTGCTGATTCTTTAAATAAACAACATAATTAACATTGGAAAGTCAACCGGACACCGGTACAGTGTGATATACAAATTTGCTTGCCCGACAGAAAAAATCAATAAACCTTTTCACAAGTTGATTTTAACTTCGTCTCATTCGATCTGTTTTATCAACTCTAATATGCAGTTCCAAGTTTAATTATTGAAACAGTGTTTTGAGTATTAATCCTGACATAAGAAAGTGAAACGATACATTTCAGTAGGATTCCTCTTCAGTTAAAGGAATGGTCAATACGTCAAACTGCTGTTGAAAATACTGGGTGTGAATCAGAGGTTTCAAATTACAGTCACATGCTTTTAAGTTCAGTATGAACGCCAAAGATTTTGCAGACTGCAAGTTATTTCAAGATCTCACTGGCTACATTCTCTTCCCCAAGTACGTGGGGAGATATAACTTGAGTAACCTCTGTGGGAAGAGAATGCACTGGCAATAGCTTAAGCAAATCTATGTATGCACCGAAGTGTGCAGTAAAATAGAAAAATCAGTGAATGTTGTGAATCATTTTGCTTGAAAACAAATATTTTTCTCCACTGAAATAACCGACGGTTGTGTCATGTTGAAACGCATTGTTTAGTTTATTGCTGCAGATGGCGATCCATAACGTTTTTAAAAAGCAATGTTTATGTGTGACTCTCGGTATCTCCTGGTGCAGATAAATTGATTTCATGTCAAAATATGTACTGTTTTTAATGAAATCATATAATTAAATTTCAAGGACAACAACAACAGTTCTCTGTAATTGCACAGGGCGTGACAAATATGAGTATGATAATTATAACCCTGACTCGTATCATGCTATCATGGGCATGTTGAAATGGGTTATTAAGCGTGTTCAATTTGGCACCCTTATACAGACATACAGACAAACGACAGACAGACAAACAGACATACAGACGACAGACAGACAAACAGACATACAGACGACAGACAGACAGACGGACTGTTGATTAAAGTCTCACTTCAATATAAAATATACAGATACAGTCAAAAAACACATTAAAAGTTAAGCCACTCTTATAAGCAGTATTTGAGACTAAGTTCTGTAAAATGTACACAAAGATCGAATATTATTGTATAAAACGATAAATGCTATAATAAATAAATACAAGTAATTAAGATATAAAGCTGAATTAGGTATTATATACATACGCTTATGCATACATTAAGACTTACGCTTGGAAAGAATAAAATGGCAGGTTTTGTCAGCTATAAAAGACACATTAGGGGACAGCGAGACAGCATGCACGTTGTGTGTTTGTATTTTTGTGTGTGTTTGTATGTTTGTATGTTTGTGTGTGTGTGTGTGAGGCCCTTGCTGTTGTTTATATCTTATTAGGGATCCTTGCCTCTAGACAATTAATTCCGAAATTTCAAAGTTTGACAGCAAATATCTCAAGAACTAATGTTCCAACACTTCCAAATCTCTTGTACAGATGCACAATCAAATTCCCAACAATTTTGCCTGGACGGGTCAAGTCGCTAAAACGTACCGTTTGGCAGTTATTTTTGTTTTCAGTTTTTGGTCATGTTTTTCAGCAGTTTTCTGAATAGTTTGCTCCAAAAATGTGCAAATTCTGTACAAATGGTAGTATGGTAGATGAAGGCTTGGTGATTCCAGAACACTAATTGTTTTGACCGTAGACCCAAGAACAACTGAGATACCGGTTTTTTAAAGAGGGAACTATTTCTTCTCCGGAACTTCTTAAAAACGTGTTCTGGCTCCGTTTTGGACAATGATTTCTAGCCCTCAGATGCAATAGATAGAACTAAAGCCAAGGAGCCCTCATCGTTGCTTGCAATTATATTTCTCTCTGTCTTTCTCTTCCTCTCTCTCCCTGTCTGATTGTGTGCGTGATGGTGTGTGTGTGTGTGTGTGTGTGTGTGTGTGTGTGTGTGTGTGTGTGTGCGCGTGCGTGCGTGCGTGTGTTGAGGTATGTGTTATAATTTGTCCAATTTTTTAGCACATACCTTCCGAAATACCTTGCCATAGTATATCTTGAGCACCCCACTCAGATACGAAATACAAAATCCTTTTACCCCTTGCGGCAACAAATAGCATCTTCTTCATCTTTTTTTTTGTATTTCTGGGTACAATGTGTGAAGCCCCTTTCTGGTGTCCCCCGCCGTGATGTAGCTGGAATATTGCTAAAAGCGGCGAAAAACCACACTCACTCACTCATTCACTCAGTCTGTATTAGGCGTTGATGTTACTTTAACTAAAGAGTCTGCACCAGCCAACCAGTGACTAATGAACAGTCAGTACCATCTGGGCGCGACGACATGCACACCGCCACGTCCACGTCAGAGGGTGGGGACACCGGCAACACGGCAATTATCAAGTGCTTCTGACATAACCTGACCGGGAATTTCCACAAGTGGAATGCATCATAAACCGATACATTTGTAAATTCTACAAGTGGTTACAAGCACACTTTGCGTTATTTGTTGATAACGTTGTGTGCTTTTGAGCACACTTTTCAGACTCTTTCAGTGAGTTTGAGTGAGTTTACGCCGTTTTCAGCACTATTCCAGTAATATCACGGCCCGTAGAATCGCACATTATAATCCACCGGGTTAACGAAATTCCGGATAATCGAGTCATATATAAGTTACTAATTAGGACAAAAATACGATGTACTATGAACAGATGGGACTCAACCCAAATGTAATTGAATCTGTACTTTACTGATAAAGTGCAATCCGAAATATAACATATGTACTATGAATTTCTCGTAGTGTATGAGTGAGTGAGTCAGTATGGTTTCAGCAATATTCCAGCAATATCACTGCGTGGGTACACCAGAAACGAGCTCCACACATTGTACCCATGTGGGGAATCGAACCCGGGTCTTCGGCGTGACGGGAAACGCTTTAACCACTAGGCTACCCCCACCGCCTCGATTTTCGTGTGGAGCAAGGGTACATGTAGGCAAAACCAAACCATTTTGAATCTGAAACTCAACGCGTAGCTTGAACTGACTACAGATATTACAAATTACTGGTTAATATGCCCTCATATTCATCACGTTGAAAAGTAAATATAAGGAGGGATTAACTTACAGCCAGTTATAGTATAGGTAACCCGGCTTTACAATGAAATCACTGTATGTGTATCTCCAGCCTGGCATGACGAAGTGAAGTGCAAATTCATCGGTGTTTGGATAACATCAGCTACAGCCCATTCTGCCTACATAGGTGGGCTATGAGGCATGCTTTCCTATAGGAATCTGGACACTGTTCGGCAATATTGGGCCCAGGACGAATAACCATCTTGAGGGGTGGCATCTTAAGTTCAAAACTTATATTCCATGACATTTTGTCAATTCCAATGAATAAAATGCATTCAGAAAGAATAAAGATACCATATACCTATTTTTTGGTAGAAACACTAGTTTTTGTCATTTTTACAGTATTGCCTGAAATTAACTTTTGGTCAAGTTCATTTTAGTAAAGGTAGAATATGTCAGCATATCTATAAATGTAAACTTACAAATCGAATACCACATTTACCCGTATTTAAAAAAGAATTGAAATATTACAGCAAGATAGAAAAAAATAGATTTTATCGCAAAGCAAAGTTTCAGTAATACCATAACAAATGGAAACAATATGAACATCTTTTTCAGGAGATAATATTATCAATGTGAATTAGTTTATTTCTGGTTATTTTATTTGTAGTATGAATGTGTGAGTGAATGTTGTATTTATGTGTAAAAAAGAAAAGAAAAAAAGAGAGAATACGTCAGCACATTAACCTTACTGCCAGATCACTGTTGTTTTAACGTGTAGGCAGAATGGGACTGTAGGCAAAATGGGACTGTAGGCAAAATGGGACTGCAGGCAGAATAGGACTGTATGCAGAATGGGACTGTAGGCAAAATGGGACTGTAGGCAGAATAGGACTGTAGGCAGAATGGGACTGTAGGCAGAATAGGACTGTAGGCAGAATAGAACTGTAGGCAGAATAGGGTTGTAGGCAGAAAAGGACTGTAGGCAGAATAGAACTGTAGGCAGAATAGGACGCTAGGCAGAATAGAACTGTAGGCAGAATAGGGCTGTAGGCAGAATAGGACTGTAGGCAGAATAGGACTGTAGGCAGAATAGGGTTGTAAGCAGAATGACATTGTAGGATTGTA